GAGTTCCTATATAATAAACAAAAATTCATGAAACAAGTATACGAAATTGTTATAAATTGAGTCTCTTACAAGCCACATTAAAACATTTTTGTCAGACAAGTTATTTTTTTTTAAATGATATGACAGCAAGGGTGAGATCCTATATCTGACTACAACACACTGAAATCAATATAGAAAAATAAACTTGCTTTGATGTTCTATGTATGCTTTTGAACAAAGTTTTTCATATGAAATGTATAAGTGAAAATGATGTCATGATTATGTAATATTCCATATAAAGAAATATATTATGTTTTTAAGTAATGCCATGTGACATCAGAATGTCCTGAACACGATCTTGGCTACAAATTGTTACCAAGAAACTAATAACACCACTGTACACATCAAAATCAATTCAGACTTATCAAACAAAGTCAAATTGGCTCAATTATTGGTCGATATAAAATCTGTGTGTCTGCAATCAACCAGTCAGATGCAGGAGACTGGGACTGGTTCCCTGTCTCAACTATTAAAGATATCCTTACAAATCTCCTTAACAGTGCACCAGACTGCATCACATTCTTTAACACTACAAGTTTTTCACAACATCTGTATCTTGAATGAATATATCCTTTAAATAATTACACTTTATAATAAGTTTCCAAGAATTTAACACAATACAAATATCGCTTCTGTGCTAAAATATGCAACATTGATACAGTTTTGTGTAACACTTTGTTCATCTTTTCAATGACTATTTCTATTCCAAACCAGTACAGTGTATCAATAAAATATGCAATCCATCCTGTTGACTCTTCAGCTGAGTTGTTTATTGTACTAGTATAGTATATACACATATATACTAGTGCCTTCAAAGTCCATGAGAGATTCTCTTCTAGTTAGTAATGTGGTCATACCTCTATAAAACCATCATTTTCTTTATCATTGTCCTTATCACCATCATAATATTCATTGTTGGCTTCAATTCTAGAATGAAAAACATATAGAAAATGTAACAAATTTAAAATACTTTAAGGTGAACCTGCAAAACACAGGTCTATAAACCCAGGAATTTTGCACTTCAGTTCTCGGCACAGCATGTTTTTTTAGCTCACCTGTCACAAAGTGACAGGGTGAGCTTTTGTGATCGCTTTTCGTCCGGCGTCCGTCGTCCGTCTGTAAACTTTTGCTTTAAATGACATCTCCTCATAAACCACTGAGCCAATTTCATCCAAACTTCACAGGAATGTTCCTTTGGTGGTCACCTTTAAAAATTGTTCAAAGAATTTAATTCCATGCAGAACTCTGGTTGCCATGGCAACCGAAAGAAAAATCTTTAAATATCTTCTTTTAAACAACCCGAAGAGCTAGAGCTTAGATATTTGGCATGAAACATCTTCTAGTGAGTGTCTACCAAGTTTGTTCAAATAAAAGCCCTGGGGTCAAAATTGGCCCCGCCCCAGGGGGTCATTGATTTTCCCTATATGCATATAGTAAAAACTTAAAAAATCTTCTTTTAAAGAACCCAAAGACCTAGAGCTAAGATATTAAGCATGAAACATCTTCTAGTGAGTGTCTACCAAGTTTGTTCAAATTAAAGCCCTGGGGTCAAAATTGGCCCCGTCCCGGGGGGTCATTGATTTTCCCTATATGCATATAGTAAAAACTTAAAAAATCTTCTTTTAAAGAACCATAAGAGCTAGAGCTTAGATATTTGGCATGAAACATCTTCTAGTGAATGTCTACCAAGTTTGTTCAAATAAAAGCCCTGGGGTCAAAATTGACCCTGCCCCAGGGGGTCATAGATTTTCCCTATATGCATATAGTAAAAACTTAAAAAAATCTTCTTTTAAAGAACCCAAAGAGCTAGAGCTAAGATTTTTAGCATGAAACATCTTCTAATGAGTGTCTACCAAGTTTGTTCAAATAAAAGCCCTGGGGTCAAAATTGGCCCCGCCCCAGGGGGTCATTGATTTTCCCTATATGCATATAGTAAAAACTTAAAAAATCTTCTTTTTAAGAACTCAAAGAGCTAGAGCTAAGATATTTAGCATGAAACATGTTCTAATGGGTGTCTACCAAGTATGTTCAAATAAAAGCCCTGGGGTCAAAACTGGCCCCGCCTGGGGGGGTCATTGATTTTCCTTATATGTGTATAGCAAAAACTTAAAAATCTTCTTTGAAAAAACCCAAATAGCTAGAGTTTAGATATTAAGCATGAAACATCTTTAAGTAAATATCTACAAAGTTTGTTCAAATAAAAGCCTGGGGGTCAAAACTGGCCCTGCCCCAGAGGTGTCATTGTTTTTCACTATATGTGTATAGTAAAAACTTAAAAAATCTTCTTTTAAAAAAACCAATGAGCTAGAACTTAGATGTTTAGCATGAAACATCTTCTTATGGGTGTCAACCAAGTCTGTTCAAATAAACAAATAAAAGCCCTTGGGTAAAAATTGGCCCGGGGGTGTGGGGGGGGCCTATATACAGGTGAGCGACCTCAGGGCCATCATGGCCCTCTTGTTTTTATTTTCTGTAGGTTTAATTGACAACAACATGCCTTCTCAAACATTCTCCTCTGTTTCAACTTATTTAAAAGAAGTTGGTAATTACTAATGAAACAAGCAGACTATCTGAATTAACAAAAACTTAAGCGGCATTTCAATATTTAGCTCTGGATAAATTTTTTTCAAGTTACAAAGGGCCATAATTCAATAACACAATTACAGACCTAGAGATTATAAGAGCTATTTGTCTAAAGAACTGACTGAACTGTCATTACAAAACCTGGCTCTATAATGTTGGCTGACAAACTTTTCATTTTCAACTTGATTTCCCCAAAGTTGATATTGGACAGTCCCAAAACATAGAAGCTGGACAAGTCCATTTTATCAATTCAACGGTTAAATAAACCGAAATTTTTTTCTCACTACTATAGCGGAACTTTCTCAGAGTGATATACAGTCAAACGTGTATTAAGCGACCGCGCAAGGGAAACACCCAAAACGGTCGCTTAATGAAACGGTCTCTTAAGACAGTCAGCATGATATAAAAGTCAAAATTTATAAATGACATCTTTCTTATGCGGTGGGAATGTTTTTCCACTTCGTTTTATATACGTTTGAATAATAAATACGCTCCGATAATCTAAATGGATGCAAATGTAAAAAATAACTTTCTGATATTTATTGACAAAAACAGTTTTGATCCATTATGTACATGTTTGACATTTTTCCAGAATTTTTTAACTTCTCCGTTGTTTTTCCTTGATTCCAACACGAAAACCCTATTAGTGAAGATGTTTTCTGTTGTGCATTTTTTCATTTGAAATAAACAAACTACATCTAATTGTTACGATTAATTTAATTGCTGATCAAGTTCAAGGTCAATTCAATGCAGTCTAAATGTCAACAAGCGAAGCGTATACACCATCTCAGTAGGGGCGGAGCGTTGCATTGTTTATCCGATATTACTGGATAATACACGTCACGCGTATACTTAACTTCATTTGCATACGCTTAAACGGTTTGGGAAATAGAGTTTTTTAGACGTTTATTTGTTGTGTTTTGATTGTTGACACTTGACATTACGAGGTGGCGTTCTCTAAAAACTCAATCACTTGACAGGTAAAAGTGGTCGTTTAATGAAAAGATTTATCTCAATTAGGTGGCTAATTAGCGGTCGCTGGTCGCGTTGAGCAAAAGTCGCTAAATAAATTAAAGATATAGAGAGAAAATGATCGGGGGGAATTTAAAGTGGTCGTTTAAGACTAAAGTCGCTTAATACACGTGGTCGCATGGGCAAGTTAGACTGTATATGATTTTATATGAATGTACCTTTTATCAACGTCTGCTTGACTGTTGGTGATATCAGGATTTGGCTCCTCTGTGTTTTCCAGTGATAGGAGATCTGGTGGTATGTCCTGCATTTCTACACTAGGCGAGCATGCCAGCTGCTTTAAATTCTCACTGACCATCTGTTTTAGACCGTCTATGTACTACATTAAAGAAAAAATACAAACTAGTACTGGCACTGTTTAAGTAATTGGGCATTCATCTACATTCTGCAATGACTGGAGGACATATAATTTAAAAACAAGATATGTTTGTAAAACATGTTTGCCCCCTATCGGCAGCCAATTAGTCATGTGATCAGGTTTTTATACATGACTTCTGACCCAGTGAACAAACAATTAATAAGGGTTATCTTGTATCTACTGGTCATGACAAGGTAATAATTATTGTGACCCCATAGGTTGTGTGCAGCAATTTAAGTTATTACAAATCTTACCAAATAATATATGCATAAATTCTATGAATCATGTAGGCCTCATTAATGACAGCCAAGTTGTTATATTACATAAGACCTTCAAATGTGTATACCAAAAGCATTTTTAGCTTCATATAAAAATATCAACCAAGGCAACTTGAGTTGTTAAGTTATTGGTCAGAATGCGTCATTAAGTACAAGGTCAATATGACATTGACCCCTTGACTCCAAAATCAATAGGGGTCATCTACTGGTCATGACCAATCATCATACCAAGTTTGAAGTTCCTAGGCCTAAGCGTTCTTTAGTTATTTATCGGAAACTGTTTTTTTTTTACCTACAAGGTCAATGTGACCTTGACCTTTGACCGCTTGACCCCAAAATCAATAGGGGTCATCTGCTGGTCATGACCAATCACAATACCAAGTTTGAAGTTCCTAGGCCTAAGTGTTCTTTAGTTATTGATCGGAAACCGTTTTTACCTACAAGGTCAATGTGACCTTGACCTTTGACCCCTTGACCCCAAAATCAATAGGGGTCATCTGCTGGTCATGACCAATCACCATACCAAGTTTGAAGTTCCTAGGCCTAAGGTTCTTTACTTATTGATCAGAAACCGTTTTTACCTACATGGTCAATGTGACCTTGACCTTTGACCCCTTGACCCCAAAATCATTAGGGGTCATCTGCTGGTCATGACCAATCACCATACCAAGTTTGAAGTTCCTAGGCCTAAGGGTTCTTTAGTTATTGATCGGAAACCGTTTTTACCTACAAGGTCAATGTGACCTTGACCTTTGACCCCAAAATCAATAGGGGTCATCTGCTGGTCATGACCAATCACCATACTAAGTTTGAAGTTCCTAGGCCTAAGCGTTCTTTAGTTATTGATCGGAAACCGTTTTTACCTACAAGGTCAATGTGACCTTGACCTTTGACCCCAAAATCAATAGGGGTCATCTGCTGGTCATAACCAATCACCATACCAAGTTTGAAAATCTTAGGCCTAAGGGTTCTTTAGTTATTGATGGGAAACCGTTTTTACCTACAAGGTCAATGTGACCTTAACCTTTGACCCCTTGACCCAAAGGGTCATCTGCTGGTCATGACCAATCACCATACCAAGTTTGAAGGTCCTAGGCCTAAGCGTTCTTTAGTTATTGATCGGAAACCGTTTTTACCTACAAGGTCAATGTGACCTTGACCTTTGACCCCTTGATCCCAAAATCAATAGGGGTCATCTACTGGTCATGACCAATCATCATACCAAGTTTGAAGTTCCTAGGCCTAAGCGTTCTTTAGTTATTTATCGGAAACTGTTTTTTTTTTACCTACAAGGTCAATGTGACCTTGACCTTTGACCGCTTGACCCCAAAATCAATAGGGGTCATCTGCTGGTCATGACCAATCACAATACCAAGTTTGAAGTTCCTAGGCCTAAGTGTTCTTTAGTTATTGATCGGAAACCGTTTTTACCTACAAGGTCAATGTGACCTTGACCTTTGACCCCTTGACCCCAAAATCAATAGGGGTCATCTGCTGGTCATGACCAATCACCATACCAAGTTTGAAGTTCCTAGGCCTAAGGGTTCTTTACTTATTGATCAGAAACCGTTTTTACCTACATGGTCAATGTGACCTTGACCTTTGACCCCTTGACCCCAAAATCATTAGGGGTCATCTGCTGGTCATGACCAATCACCATACCAAGTTTGAAGTTCCTAGGCCTAAGGGTTCTTTAGTTATTGATCGGAAACCGTTTTTACCTACAAGGTCAATGTGACCTTGACCTTTGACCCCAAAATCAATAGGGGTCATCTGCTGGTCATAACCAATCACCATACCAAGTTTGAAAATCTTAGGCCTAAGGGTTCTTTAGTTATTGATGGGAAACCGTTTTTACCTACAAGGTCAATGTGACCTTGACCTTTGACCCCTTGACCCAAAGGGTCATCTGCTGGTCATGACCAATCACCATACCAAGTTTGAAGTTCCTAGGCCTAAGCGTTCTTTAGTTATTGATCGGAAACCGTTTTTACCTACAAGGTCAATGTGACCTTGACCTTTGACCCCTTGATCCCAAAATCAATAGGGGTCATCTACTGGTCATGACCAATCACCATACCAAGTTTGAAGTTCCTAGGCCTAAGGGTTCTTTAGTTATCACTCGGAAACCATTTAGTCTACGGACCGACGGACCGACAAATGCAAAGCAATATACCCCCTCTTCTGCGAAGTGGGGGCATAATAACTGATTTTATAGTATTGTGTAAAAGCAACTACTAAAGCGTCACAAAGATGTATCCATCTTTACATGTTGAGAATTATCGTTTACTTCCAAAAGCCATCAATCTGTTCTCTTTTCATCAAAAGCTATCAATCTGTTAACTAATTATCAAAAGCCATCAGTCTGTTCACTTTTCATCAAAAGCCACTATTCTTCATCAAAAGTCATCAATATGTTTACATAATGAACAACTATTAATGTAAATGACAAAAAAACTTGTGCCACTACAAGCAAAGAAGGAATGTCAAGTAAACCTACTGTTTTTGTGTTCTGATTGTCCTGTTTTGTTGATATATCAGGATGTAGAGTAAAGTCTGGAGCAAAATATTCAAGGTACTCTGAGAAAAGATAAATAAAACAATTTATTACTACAATTGTTTCGGTGTTTTTAAATATGAAGATTTCTAATGACTAATAAAATCGCATACCGGTAATTAAAGCATAAACATTTTTGTACACAACGAACATAATCAGGAAATTTGAAGTTTTAATCCAATACTGTAACCCAACGAATATTCGCGACCAATTAATATTCGCGGATGGCCACGATGCGTGAATATTTGTTTGCGCGAATAAGTCCGCACAATTTCGCGAATAAATTGGAGAGAAATTTTTATTTTGGACGTTGTTCATGCCAGGCTACTTGACCGGATATATTCAAATTTTACGGGCACCTGTTAGAAAGTGATGTATTGTTATGAATATTGCCATATAGCAATAAAAACACAAACTAAGTAAACTACTACTATTTTATAAATATCAAAAGAACTCTATGTCAATATTGCAAATATAAAATTTTATATAACATTTTAATACAGTTTATGAAATATTAGTAGGCCTATTGTCAATCACGTTCCGTGATCACAATTCACTTACCAATACAATATAAGGCTAGCGTATTGTTAATCCCATTTAAGACACCAATAATGACCTCAATTATTGAAGATTAATAGTCGGCTAATGGATTTTACGGCCCAATCGGACTTTCCAATCCGCGAATATTTTTTTTCGGAAATCAAGAAAACGCGGAAATTAATATTCGCGAATATGTCCGACCTGGGCAAAACGCGAAAAATTTGTATTCGCGAATATAAATTGGGTTACAGTATCAATCTGAGATATTATGTTTACCAATTACTTCTTCAAAATATATTAAGAAACTGCATTCTATTGTAGAAGTAGAAATGTGTTCATAGGACATTTATGGATGGACAGCTTGACAGTGTTCTGGGCAAACAAAGGTCAATTTATATCCCTGCCCACCCCCTTAAGACAGGAATAAAATTATCAACAATAGCATATCCCCAATTAAATTAAGGGAGCTTAGTTACTTATCATGTATCCTTCTAGAGATTTCCCTTTAATATTTACCTAATATGTAAAACAACCAGTCATTCAACTTGTTGCATGTTGCAACCTTAAATGAACAATATTTGCCATATCTATAGAGCCAAATCAGTTTGCTTACCTTTCCAGTCTGACCTGAATCAGTACTATTGGCAATGAAACTTTAACTCTTCATCTTCATATCCCCATGATTATTACTGTACATATACAAGTCCATTAAAAAATCACAGGTAAAGTATCAAACTAAAGTTTGTAGTTTATCTTATAGAGAGAACTTGAACAATTTTAATAGCTTGCCATTGCTATGAGCATTTAATTATAAACAAAGACGGAACAAACTTCACATTACCATTATAAGGTATCTCATTACTGATTTCCTCATTTAGTATAACCCCTGTCTCATACGTCCAGCATCTAGCAACATTCCTCTTTGTGTACCCACCACCTCCAAGCACCAACAATGGTAGACCATATTCCTTCACAACTTTTACGCACTCTCTAAAATAATCAAAGAATTTACTGACATTTAAATTATTCTTAGCCAATATGGTCATGATGGTCCTATAACACACAACATTGCATGAAATAGGTCAATGGGTCAAGTTCAAGTTCATTCAAGCTCAACTTTGATTTAATACATATAAGTGGACTAGCAGTCTAAGTTTATGTATTGAAGCTTTTATATTTAAAACAAGCTCACTTAGAAATCATCTGACGATAATAGATGATAAAATTTCAATCTACTTTTAAGTTCCAAATTTGCAAGCCATAGCTTGAAAAATACAAAAGGATGTCACTGACAAAGTCGACAGTTATCTTTAGTACAAACTTAAACTTGTGTAAACTTATGTAAAACTTGTGTTACGGCCTTATCCAAGGACTATACTTGGAATAATCTTTGCAGCTGATCACTTGATGATATTACTAAATATCAAAGAGGTAAGCCTGTTGGAAAAGAAGATATTTTAAGATTTCATTTTTTTTATTCAATTCTAGCTTCTGTAATCTAAATATATTCATTTAACAGAACAAGTTAAATAACTTTTGTAGAACTTTATGCATGAATCAGCACAGGCAATTTTCAACAGAACTTTTAAATTGCTATTCTACACACAATTGTAAACCTTTTTAGGGGGTTTGGTTTTACGTCACACCAACACAGTATAGGTCATATGGCAACTTTCAAGCTTTTCTGCTTGAGGAAGACCTCACATACCCCATTGTGCATTATTTCAGGCACAAACAGGGACCTGAGTAGAACAACCAACATTCTGTAAGCTAGCTGGATAATTTTCTCTCATGAAAAATTTCCAAGACACTGGCGTGACTTGAACATACAGCGGTGAGAGGCAATAGGTTTGATGTCAACAACCTTTTGTGAACTAAAAAGAAGATTGATTTGAAAAGATAACATTGTACATATACTTACCAACGAGCTTTTATACTAAGATTAAAGCACATGTACTTACCCATGTCCTTTTATACTAAGATTAAAGCAGCCTAGTCTGTCACTGCCTAAAGAATCTGCACCACACTGAAATATTGCAAGTATTGAATAAGTGGTTACCATTTTATCCTTTTAATCTTTACAGCTTATATTCTTTCTGTGAATCTGCTATACTCAATATAAACAGAAACATCGGAAGCACATCTCAATTCAAGTGACACCTGGTTCAATTATAACTTTAAACAGAAGATAACAATAGGGCAATCAAAGCCCTATATGGCTTACCTGAAATACATGGCTTATTTGGGTGGGGCTGATTTTAATCTCTGGACCATTGTTCATAAAATTTTAGTAGATATCCACTTGGCAATGCCACTTGAAGAAATATGTATCCCTATATAAGTCTATGTGCAGTAAGTGACCCCTAATGCAGGGCAAATTTCCACCCTAACAGTATGATTTGTTGAACTTTTTTTAATGGTTTACTAAATATCTAAGATTAAAAGCATTGCAGTTTCTGGAAAAAAAAAGTTTCTAAGCTCCTGTGAAGATTGGTCAAAATCCACTATGTGCTTTGGACATCATGCTATCACAAAATCATGTGTTCAGGTGAACAAAAAAAAAACAAATAGTCCCTTCATATTGTCGTCTTTTCATAAACTGTTTCACAATACCACTCTTCAAAAAACTTGCTTGTACACTTCAGTTATCAAAGTATCTACTCTATTTTTTTTGCAACTACATGTACCTCTACACCTATTTTCTCTATTCAAAAGGACTAGTCCTAACTGTCAATTATCAAACATGAAATCAATTCTTTACAATGTTAAATAATAAGCTATTTCTGGATATTTATTTTTCACCTGAAGCACTATAACTGTGGGTCTGTAGAATTCTATAACTTGCTGTATTGTTGGCTTGAACACATTCATGTACACTGTAACAAAACAAAACAAAGTTTGCTTCAGTGTAAGCAACAACCTTATGTTATCTTTTTATAATTTACATGTATTACTAAATAGTATTTGCATTTATCATGAATTTTAAAACAATCAGTCTAAATTATTAGGAAATGTTTAGACTAAATAAAGTAAAGGAACATTTTTGCAGTTCAGAGGAAATTTATCTATTTTTGTTTTCTTGTTGGTTTTTACTTTCCACTAACACGGTTATAACTGGTGGAAGAAGACCTCAGGTGCCCTTCCATGCATTATTTCAGTCACAAACAGGCACCTTAGTAAAACCACTGACGTTCTATAAGCTAGCTGAATAGCTTCATCACAGGAAAGAATTCAAAGTCTCTCTTGGGACCCAAACCCACAGTGGTGAGGGGTTAGTGGTTTAGTAGTTAGTAGTTAGTGTAAATAATAGAAGTACATAGTATATAATCCCTGTATGGATCAGTAGACAGCAAGTACAGTAACCTAGGATTTAATAACTGGGTAAACAATTCCTGTAAGTATGTGCTGTAAGTAAACTATTCTTGGCTCTGTCTTAAAGCATGATTTTCATTGGTCAATTTTACATTTTGTGCTGAAATCTGACCAATCAAAAACCCGACAGATCTGAGTCTGAGTTAAGTATATAGCTTTACAGCCTCAAACCCAGTTCTTTTTAACTTTCACTAGAAGTGAATAAGGAAATATATACTCATACATAAGGATAACAAGGAAATTGTCACAAAATGGACTCAATGCTTTTGTTTAAACCTATAAATAGAATTCATGCCAAAGTTAAAATTCATTAACTTGTCGTGCTAAACTACTTATACACTTCACAATCAATGACAGGTTTGAAACAATTTTCTATCATTAACTATTCTCATCATCATTATCTACAATACTTCTCTTTTCACTATGTATAACAAATACTTGAAATAAAGAGAATGTGTATAAATGTAATCAATGATAACAGATAGAATCTTACTCTGGTCATCCATGCCTTCTCTCAGTGGTACATTTAATGAATAATATCTCCCACATTCTGCTCCCAGCTCAAACATATCCCCTGAAATAAAGTAGCACCGTATCTCTATATTTCTGCTTGAATTATCACACATATTATACAATATAATAAATAACAACCATTTTAATTACCTATCTGGTACATTGTATTTCTTCTATGGCTTTAATTTTATGTTTTGTTTTCTTTCTAGCTAAATTTTGTCTAGTTCAATTTTTTTTTTTATTTTTACAAAAATATGTTAAAATGTCAAAAAAACTTCTATATCTTAAAAACTTTTTAAGTGATAAGAGTTTTTTTGTTAGACTGAGTACACACTTGTGAAGTTTCAAATGCACTCTTTGTGTGGTTAAGAAAATAAAACTTACAAGCACAATCTTCTCCAGGAATTTTAAGTGTCCACAAATGGGAAACAATTCAGTAAATATCAAAGTTAGAGTTATGATCCTTTGACAGTGTCCTAATTGATGATCATGAAGACATGTTTTTTAGTTTCAAGAGAGTGCCTTTGGCTGTTAACTAAATGTAAAGTTGCATGCAAAACATTGACTAGGTGTTACACGAACACTGATGCCAGTGTGAGTAGGATAGTCCCATAATAACTTAAAAGTCAAGCTAATGACAATTACCTGTCCCAGGGAAGAAGTAGTTGCCATATTTATGGAAAGAGACAGTCATTACTCTGTCAGTGAGATAAAATGCCTCCTGTACACCATCACCATGGTGAATATCTATGTCAATATACAGAACACGCGGGTGATATCTAAAAAGTAATAATAACAATTTTCATACAACAAAATTCAATTCCTACTTCATCATATACAAATCAATAAATTGTTACTAGTATAAACAATCAAAATTGATACACCTCAACTAGACTAACAAAACAACCAATTTTGATGTTTGACATTTAAAAACAGAAAATGTGTAAGAGGCTGGATCGCTCAGTCCGTACCTCAGCAGAACGGAATTTTGAGGGTCCCAGGTAAGAGTCCCAATCAGGCTACACATTTTTCAAACCTTGTGATAATGATATATATTGAATGACTTACATGTATGAGAAAATATATATAATTACATATAATATATAATTTATGTAATAAAATACAGCAAAGGCATATGAGTGAAGAACAAAAGTAATGATAATGTTCAAATAAGTTAAGACTGGGTGTAATTTTATTAAACATGAAATTCATATTTCAGTATTTAAGTCCTCTGCTGTCACACCTGAATATAGCACATGACCATCTGAATGATTCCTATCATTTTGGAAACCATTAAGCATTTGTACTTACAAATTTTGTAAAATAGCTTAATATTTTCTCTTTCAAGGTTGTTAACCTATACTTTTTAAGTACATTGTAGTCATGGGTAAACAAGCTAGAAATATGTTCATAGGACAGAAGTGCTCCCACATTCCACAGTTTTGACAGGTTTGAAGGGTCCATCCACCCTTCAGGCACTGAGAGTACGGACCCCAGACATGTCATCAATCATGTCCTTAAAAAGTATTAAGTTGCCAAATGATGACCTATTAATTATGAATCCAGTAATTCACTGAATGCGACCAAATATATGTTATTTTTTTACCAGTATTTTTGTTTGATATACAATGAACATGTATATACATGTTACGTACATCATACAATTCAAGTGAACTTTCAAAACAAAATAGTTTTTAGTAACTGTACTTACTTTAGTAACTCTAGTATACCAATAACTATATCATTAACATAACAAAATCCTGACGCTTCAAATTTTTTGGCATGATGTAAACCTCCAGACCAGTTCACTGCTATATCACAGTCCTGTCAAAAATTACAAAATCAACAGTCACCAATATAGACCTACATTTTTAAACATACATTTTTATAGTTCAATTCTATTTTTTCAAATGTTAATAAACTCTTATCCAACAGTGTTAGGTAAATGAGGTAGAAGTCAAAATGACCATTCAAATTAACGATTAATTAATTGACAACTGAAGTCAAATCTTTGATATTAAAAGTTATAGTTGCTATAATATAAAAAAGCTTCTACCTGCATGACCTTGACCTTCTTCATAATACTCTTAAAAAAATCATTTGTCACATGGATATTAATTCCATGTCCCTACTACTACTGAAATGTTTTTATGTGACCACCCAGACATGATTCAAGTGTATAAAGTTAACAAGAGGGCCATGATGGCCCTGATGTCGCTCACCTGTATATAGGCCCCCAGAGCGGGGCCAGTTTAAACCCCAGGGCTTTTATTTGAACAAACTTGGTAGACACTGATTAAAAGATGTTTCATGCTAAACATCTAAGGTCTAGCTCGTTGAGTTTTAAAAAAAAAAGATTTTTTAAGTTTTTACTATACACACATAGTTAAAAGCAATGACACCCCCGGGGCGGGGCCAGTTTTGACCCAAGGGCTTTTATTTGAACAACTTTGAAGACACTTACTTAAAGATGTTTCTTGCTTAATATCTAAACTCTAGCTATTTGGGTTTTTTTAAAGAAGATTTTTCTAAGCTTTTGCTATACATATAAATAAAATCAATGACCCCCAGGGTGGGGCCAATTTTGACCCAAGGGCTTTTATTTGAACAAACTTTGTAGACACTGATTAGAAGATGTTTCATGCTTAGTATCTAAACTCTAGCTATTTGGGTTTTTCAAAGAAGAATTTTTTTTAAAGTTTTTGCACATTTACACATATAAGGAAAATCAATGACCCCCGGGACAGGGCCAATTTTGACCCCAGGGCTCTTATTTGAACAAATTTGGTAGACACCCATTAGAAGATGTTTCAAGCTAAATATCTTAGCTGTAGCTCTTTGGGTTCTTTAAAAGAAGAATTATAAGTTTTTACTATATGCATATAGGGAAAATCAATGACCCCCTGGGGTGGGGCCAATTTTGACCCAGGGCTTTTATTTGAACAAACTTGATAGACACGTATTAGAAGATATCTTAGCTCTAGCTCTTTGGGTTCTTTAAAAGAAGATTTTTTAAGTTTTTACTATATGCATATAGGGAAAATCAATGACCCCCAGGGGCGGGGCCAATTTTGACCCCAGGGCTTTTATTTGAACAAACTTGGTAGACACCCATTAGAAGATGTTTCATGCTAAATATCTTAGCTCTAGCTCTTTAGGTTCTTTATAAGAAGATTTTATAAGTTTTTACTATATGCATATAGAGAAAATCAATGACCCCTGGGGCTGTGCCAATTTTGACCCCAGGGCTTTTATTTGAACAAACTTGGTAGACACCCATTAGAAGATGTTTCATGCTAAATATCTTAGCTCTAGCTCTTTGGGTTCTTTAAAAGAAGATTTTATAAGTTTTTACTATATGCATATAGGGAAAATCAATGACCCCCTGGGGCGGGGCCAATTTTGACCCCAGGGCTTTTATTTGAACAAACTTGATAGACACTCATTAGAAGATGTTTCATGCTAAATATCTTAGCTCTAGCTCTTTGGGTTCTTTAAAAGAAGATTTTTTAAGTTTTTACTATATGCATATAGGGAAAATCAATGACCCCCTGGGGCGGGGCCAATTTTGACCCCAGGGCTTTTATTTGAACAAACTTGATAGACACTCACTAGAAGATGTTTCATGCCAAATATCTAAGCTCTACCTCTTTGGGTTTTTTAAAAGAAGATATTTTAAGTTTTTTCTATCGGTTGCCATGGCAACCAGAGTTCTGCATGGAATTAAATTCTTTGAACAATTTTTAAAGGTGACCACCAAAGGAACATTCATGTGAAGTTTGGATGAAATTGGCTCAGCGGTTTATGAGGAGATGTCATTTAAAGTAAAAGTTTACGGATGCCGGACGGACGCCGGACGAAAAGCGATCACAAAAGCTCACTCTGTCACTTTGTGACAGGTGAGCTAAAAAGCAACTAGCAATGGGCCCTTAAGACATGTTTGCCCCAAAATTCTACTTTTTTTCCAGTCTAACGATAGACTGAGTGTGTCAGACAGACAAACAAACATGTACAAAGGTTAATCTGTATCCCCTAGATCTACCTACCCCCCTTTAATAAGGGCATAAACATGCACATCAAATAGCTTATAGAACAATTAAAGTACCTGGTTTTGGGACTTACATTATTATTTAATTTGACAGCTCCTTCTAGTGTGGCTCCAGTATACATTGAACAAAAGTCATATATCCCATCAAAAACTGGGCTGAAAATACAGTCATGAAATGAACATTTAAAGTAAAACAGTGTGTAAAATTAAAATTGCAGAGATTAAAAAGTTGTACATTTTGTTTTCCAAAATTCTTACAGGGCAATGAGCATGAATTTCACCAGCATACAGGCACTATCTTTCACTGAAAATTAAAATTGGTTTTAAGTCACACTGACACGGTAAAGGTCATATGGTGACTTCCCAGCCTTACCGGTGGAGGAAGACCTCTGTTGCCCCTCTGTAAATTAAATCTAACTGGATAACTTCCTGACATGTCAAAAAAACTTAAGTTCCAGATGGGATTCAAACCCACAGCAATCATGAGCAAGTGATTTTAAAGTCAGCAACCTTGACCACTCGGCAACAGATGCCACCTACTTCTTCCCTCCAAGAAAAGGGGAGAGCAGTTTTGAAATGTAGAAAGAAATACTTCTGACATAATTGAAATTCAATACTCATTATGTGTTTAAAAAGTCTGAACTTATTATCATTTAAAGTTAGAAAGCTAAATTTCTTACCAATCATCTCCCACATTGAACATACTGAGCTGCTTAGTAAAGTTCTGTACATTCTGTGGAGACACTCTCATTAGAAAGTCAATGTAATCTTCCGAATGAAATCTACACATGTCATGAACTGAGGCCCTGTATGGACGATACACTTGCATCTTCTTGTGTAGATTATAGTGCATCACTAGACAGTGTGTTAATGCAATCCTCTGTGGCTTCATAGGATGCCCTGGACCTGTAAAAATTCATGTATCACATGTATATATAAGAAGCGCAGTATTGATCACATAATAAAATACAGCAAAAGAGCTATCAAAACCATGGACTCTTTTGGTTATCAGTTTAACACCTACAAAATGTTTTAAATGACTTAATTAATATTATAAGAAGAGTTAATTAAAGGACCATAATAGCCTTTAATGCTCATGTGAATAAAAACTGCAAAGTTATCAGCCCATTAATATTTAGTAACAAAATTGCCTGTGATTTCAACTGATTATGTCAGAGTGTCACATAACCGATTATGAGTTTGCGGCCTGGGATTGAAAACTTATAATCATAATTATATATAGTAACAAAATTGCCTATGATTTCATCTGATTATGTCAGAGACTGAGTGTCACATACATGTAACTGATTGAGTTTGCGGCCTGGGAGTGGGAATGAAGACCTATAATCATAATTGGCCCGCTGAACACGAGACGGAGTATGTGCACATACTAAACAATGACGTCACATTTTATGTCATCAAAACAGCTGGCTGTAAATGTGAATTAGGTTTTAAGCATGATTCGCTTGAATTTATGATGAGAACTTAATCGTATTTTGTACAAACACAGTTTTATTGAAGTTTTAAGAAAAAATACTACAAAAACGTTAAAAATCGTTACATTTGGATACATTTGAAAAGAGTCTTCGTACCGAAACCAAGAGCCTATCATGCCTATGCCTATGGAGAAACAGTGCTGGAGGACGGCGGCACGAAATACCCAAATATATCTATTTATTTTTGTTGGTATAAAATATAGATTATAATGAGAAATAAATAAATATTTATAAAATAAGTTAGCCTGCTATAACTTTCACTCATTCCGTTGTAATGGGCAGTTAAGATGTTGTAAGAAAATAAAGTTGTGACATTTGCTTATCTACTATATACAGGGCTACAGATAACATTTTGTATACACTGGGTAATTACCCCTTGTTTTGTGATCTATTGGGTTTTTTTCTATATTCTTAGAGTTATTTCTGTATTTTTTACCCTACCCTCTCTAACCAATTTAGGTTATAAAGCACGAGCTCATTTATTTTACCCAGCATTTCTGAACTTCATTGTAGATTGTTGTAGGTTTTGTATGTTAATAAAATGATAATAAAAAAGCTACTTACTACTATGCTTTATTGTTTATTGGCCTGAAGATTTCCAAGCTCTAAAAGTTCATCTGCCTGATATAATTTGAACAGTGTTGAACAGTATAAAACAGTTTGATCTGCCTGATCATTCAAAATATGTCAAAAAAAAGAAGAGTTCAGCTGATGTCTTTCAGCACTGAATATTTTTTTTCCTCAGAATTAACAAACTTTTTGTTTCTTAGCTGCCCTAGGCTTTCTTTCAGCAAACAGTCTTGATTTCCTTCTCCTTTTTTGCCTTAGCCAGTAAACTATAGATGATGTGGCATCAAACATCTTAAGACTTGGGCCCAGCATACTTATAATCATGAGAGTGTTTAACTTTTCTGACCCAAGTGAAGCCCTTAACTTACATTTTAACCTATTCTGTGTGCTAAATGATCTTTCACACTCCACACTTGTTGGCTGAAGGCACAATGCTATATCTGCTAATTTTGCCATATTTGGCATCATGTTACCATGTAAAAGAATCACTCTCTTACAAAGTTTGTCAGTTCTGATATCTGAATAACTCCCTTTTACCATTCCCTGGTACCTTGGCCACTCATCCTGGATTTTTTTAGGGTCAATTAAAGGATCTACTTTTCTAATTATCTCTTGGGTTCCTTCAATTAAGTTACCTTCTATAATCTTGACTGACTTTTCATATCCATAGAATGTAGACAATGATTCAACAGCTTCCTTACATTCTTCTTCTGGTAAAGAATTAAATAGAGCAAGTTCAAAAACTTTACTAAAGTCATCAAATAAAGCGCTGTCTTCTTTCCGAAACCTGTCACTAATGTTCTTCTTAAGCCTTTTAATATAGTCAGCCCTGATGTTTTCAAACTCACTGTCCATGTTTACATGAAAAGTTAGTTTCTCTCCTGAAAATAAAACTCCATCATCAGTTTTCTGTATCTCAGACTTCATTGAGGCTAAACACTCTCCATCTACTGTCTGCAATGATGACAGCTTAGAAATTGTTGCATCCATGAGTGGCTTTATTTCACTAAAAAGCACAGCTTTTTTCTGTAGTTTAGAACTAAGTACTGCCAATTCATTATGGACATCAAGGATGAAGGCAGTGGCAAGAGCAACCTTATATGAACTGAAGTATTTCAGGAGTCCTTTGGCAACAGCATTTTTCTCTCCAGCAAATTTTGACAGTATTGTCAATACAGAACCATATGATTGGTACACAGCAAGAACAACATCTCTTAAGCCAAGCCATCGAATAGAATAAGGCCCGTTGATTGTATTATTAGGTTCCTCAAGCAAAGTTTGAATTTTCTTAAGTGTCAATGTTCTTATACTTGACCCACTGATAAACAAGTACAATGAATTAAATTTCTCTCTGAATTTAATCATGAAGTCATTTTTCTTGATGGAATCTGTACATGCCAAATTGATTCTGTGAGCCATACAGTGTGTCTGGATACGGAATGGAGAGTACTTGCTGACCATCTGCTTCCCACCTCCAGTGTGTTTGCCCATCATTACTGCTGCCTCATCTGTAGCCAGCGATGTACAGTTGGCAAGATCTATACCAAACTATTCAAATTCCTGAGCTACACAGTTCATAATTGTATGAGCAGTGCCATTTTCAAGATGAACATTCCCCAGCATTTTAGTATACGGTTCTCCTGCTTTGACATACCTAACACAGATACTTAATCTCTTATCTACTGTCACATCTGTACTTTCATCCAACATAATTGCAAAGACACCAGATGATTTGATATCATTCACCAGTTCTTCACGAAGTACATGAGCAATGGAGTTTTGAATGTCTGTGATTGAGTCCCAGCTCAGATTAGTATATTTCATGTTAAGGCCATTTTTTGTCTGTAATTCTAGCAGAGAATTTATTGCCTTTGATGGAATTTCAGACTTGGCTGCATTATAAATGGTGTTAAACAGTTTCTTGTCCACATCATCAACTAACATTGAAGAATCACTTTCAACTAAAGACTCTGTGCAGATTTTATCCTTCTTCACAAGCAGAAACTGAGTTTTTATGTTCTGCACTCTGAAGATGTCTTGTTTCTGCAGAATACTGGTAGTTAGGGGAACCTTCTGTTGCCCAAACATTTGTCAGGTTCAGTTTCTTTTTCATAGTGGTACACACACTGCATTTTAAAGTAGAGCTGTTCATATCTCTTTTTAACCATGGGTGCTTCCTTTTCCCATTCAAGCATTGTTTTTTCACTAACAGCCCATGCATCATGCCTTTTTTGATTTTACAACATTATTTACAATGTCAAGCAAAATTCCACACATCGCTTCCGACGGATCAAAGACAACCTTATTCACTAGTTCATCTAACATTTGTACCACAATATTTTCTGCTTCTAATGATTTATCTTCAAAATAACTGAACAAAGTGTTACTTTGAATACTCTGGTTTGTACGCTTTTTCCTATTTTCCTACCACGAGCCGCCATGTTGTTTTTAAAACAGAAAGTAGACCCCAAAGATCGAAAAACACCAAAAAGTCAACTGCATATTAGGTGATAAAAAATTGTTAGGCGGTAAACCAGTCCAATGAAAAAAAACAACAACAAACATAAACGTACGGCATTTAGTGTAATTTACGTCATTACCGATACGCATCAGTTCAAGTGTAGTTTGCGTTAATAAGAATTTAATTACGTTTTGTTACGCTTAGTTATTATTTCTATTGCGTTTTTTAACATTTTAATTGAGTAATAACGCAAATACGCACGTTATCTGTAGCCCTGTATATAGGTTCTTTATGAATGTACTTGCAATTTTAAATCAAGATATAATATTTGTTGTCTACACTTATACTTTTAGGGTGTAATTTTGTTGAAATTTCATATCATATACCAGGGCCCTCAATCCAATTTGGGGGAAGCGGGTCGCTACCCTCAGCAGGGGTAATTTTAGTGTATGGGGGGAATTTTCCTCTTTTTTTCATGATCAAATAACAAATAAACTTATTTAAATATCAGCTGTTTTTTTATTTACACGCATACTATTTTTTTAAAAATCCCAAATAGGTTACACTAAACTGTTCAGAAGTGATTGATAAGATTTGAAGAAAAGTTTTTTTAACACCTTACACCATCAGATCTTTATGCTGCTTAGCTTTCTTTATGATTCCCCCCCCCATTGTGAAACACATTCAGACAAATGTCTCCATTTCCACTAATATGAACAATACATGGACCTAAAGTAAATTCTATTCATAAACTACATTTTTAGTGTTCTAACACACCTTTTACTGAGACAAAGCTTCCTTTTCTTGACTTTGTAAAACATTCGTAAAAATCGGCATCGCGAAAATATGTGACAAATGAAAATTTGTTTGTTTTCTGTTTACACATTCCGATGTAAATTATATAAAATTAAATTGATTGTTTATTATAAGATCCTTTTTCATGAGTTATTTAATAAAGTATCATGAAAACAAAACTTACAAGTTTGTAATTTACGGCAAAATTTACCGTGGTTGATGTAACATTTTGAAGACAAAAAAATGATTTCATGAATAAACAATTTGAAATCAAATTGTTGACGGGAATTGTGATTTTTTTCTGCATATTTCTGTTGATATTTTAGCATTTTTACAGGATGAAAGGCCAATATGTGACGGTAGGTTTTGAGGGAAAAAACAAACGGAAACGTGCAGACATGTACTGTACGATATTCCGCTTACAAAATAGACGTCAAATAGATTGATTTTAATTTTCAAAAACAACATTAGTTTTCATTTTTCTCTTTAACACTTTATATGTTTTGAGGGGGAATTTTTACCTCTGTTAGGGGGAAAAAACATACTATTTTGGTGGGGGACTGTGGCCGAATATCAGCCGCAGATTTGGTTGATCGAGGGCCTGTATACAAGTGTCCATGTTATTTTAAAAAAATAGCTTTAATGGAGTACATATACTGTATTTTGGTTGAAAACACAATGATAGGAAAATGTATATTTGGGTATGTTTGATTATATCTTAGTGAAAGTGTATTATATTGTATTTATGATTAAAACAGGGAAAAGAGTCAACTCGACCCTATACCAACTCGGCACGGGTCAACTCGGCCCAATTTACAAATATATATATAACGTATTAACTTTGCTTTGCATGTTGTTAATGTAAATGAATAATAAGAAATATATTATTATTATATAATTATAAATTCTACTTCTGCCGAAATAAAGTATAGTTAGAAAAAAATTGTTATTTATCTGTCTTATATTTATAAACTCTCTCTGTCGAACTACGTAAATAGCCGAGGTATATCGAGTGAAAAAGCAAGAGTTGTTTCCCTTAGTTTCCCTACGCTTGCAAAAAAATGCAAATTTAGTCGTGTTTAAATCGCTAGTTTGGGGCGATTACATGTCCGATTTAAAAATTTGTTACACAAATTAAAAGCTGGTGATCTTAGCTTCCTCTCAGTATACATTTCAACACAATGTTTGACACTGAAGGTATTTAAAATTACGGTTAAACCTACCACGAGTCAGAAATACAGTGAGATACGCAATCGGTTATCTTTACTCGCAATTCTAATGATAAGAAAAGCCGGTCTGCTGCTAGTTCTAAAACTGTCAATCCGTGTTTTATAAATAATTACAATAATAACAATAAGTAATGATAACACAAACCTTTATATTAATTATTAAAAAGTGGGCCTAGTTGACTCGTGCCGAGTTGGAATAGGGCCGAGCTGACCCGGATTCTTAAAACAGCACTTTTTTAGTATAAAACATTTGTTTTTAATATAATTGGGCAATATTTGGGTATATTTAGGCAACATTTGAGTATATTTGGGCAATATTTGTGTATATTTGAGTGTATTTGGGTATTTCGTGCTGCCCCTAGTCCTATAAATATGACGTCGCTTTGAGATATTTTTGCTTCTGGGCAAAGCAACGTCATATCGAAATTGCTCAAAAACCCATAGCATGTTCCGCCAGAAAATCGGGCGGAACGAAAAACAATGAAGACAGCGTGTATTTACATAATTTTTGACCTATTTATGAACAAAACTAAAAAATAAATACCTTTTGTCAAAATAATTAAACTGTCACATCCGAAAAATCATGATTAAATCCTCTCATGTATTTCAATTCCCTTTACAGCTGATAAACAAATGGCGGCCGTAAAGTGCGCGAAATCTGATTGGCTAATTCAAATGCAAGCGTTTAACTGAGTCAGAACAATCTAACGGAATATTTTTCTAACGAAATAATTGCCCATGCACCGTCAGTGTGTTCGAATATATTTTTCCGTTCAAAAATTTGGAATCAATCTGTAAAGCACCTTGCTTAACCAGTATGGCTGATAGACAAAAATAGATTGATGTTTATATTTTATTTTAAATTGATATGTACATCGTTTGAAAGTTTTTGTCTATGATTGAGCATGAAATTGAAAGAAAATATGATAAGCTTTTGAATAAAGCTTGAAAGGCAAGACAATAGACATTTTTGGAATTTTTTATGATGCTATGCGTTTTTGAGCAATAGCTATTAGACGTCAGGCTTGACCGACAAAAACTATAACAAGCCTGTAACGTCTAATATATTGGACTAGTGCTGCCCCTAGAGGAAAGTCATTATCGAACATAAATTTCAAGTGGCAAGATAGATCTTTGCAGATATGAGAAGATTAAAAGAATCGTACCATAGTGGAAATTTCCAACATCTGGATCATATGAATACGCAACGACAGGTGACGACGGCATTCTTGCTTTAAATGTTTGAAAATCAACAGAGTTTTCACAAAAATATCATCGTATTTTTCGCAAAATACTATCTTTGTCTCCTGAAAAGAAGAACTAAATGGATAATAACTTTATCGCGCCGTACCAAAAAGCGCAGTGCCGTACCAAATTGTGTTTCATTCGTGACAAATGTCTATCAAAGGAAAATATTTTTTTTAAAAGTAACCAAACAGAGTTATTGTTCGTTTAACTGCACTTATCGGTTAGCAATTTAGTTTCATTTCACTTAGAGCTCTGCAATGTTTAAAAAAGGAAATCAATTTAGAAATTAAATCAAGGAAAAAAAATTAAATTAGGATAGTTTCAGATTACGTTTTTGCTGTTTAAATACAAAAACTAGGTAAAGGTAGATGATGCGAGAGTTACATTCATTATTTTTTATCACTGCACTGTTTCTAGATGCCATCTGCCAACATTTTTATCTTAAAGTTAATCTCAATCATTTATAGTTTAAGACATGCACCTATTCATACACGTGTAATTACACTTAATTAACTTAAAGCGCGTTTCGTGTCCACTTTATGTGCATCTTAGTACTCACATTTATATAATTACAAGGTAATGGTAGTTAAACAAGTAGAATTTTTTTTAATTGATTGTAACGGACAGCTAGGTTGTTTACATTCATATGCATGTATAGTTTTGTTCCTGATTAAACCAGTTAGCTATTTCACATACATCCATTGACTGTCAATTAAAGTTTATTTTGATCATTTCAGCCAAAGGATCTATCTTGTGTTTTAAGTTCAATAAAGTTCATCCGCCCTTTAAGGCACTGAGAGCACGGGCCGCGGACATGTCACCAATCATGCATGTCCTTAAATGGAATTTAAGTAGGATCTATTTTTACGAGATATTTTTATAAATACAAATGTAATTTGGCTGATTATACGCTTGTTACGTGGAAATTGTATGGTATACGAGGATGATGATGATGATGATGATGATGGTAGTGGTGATGATGATCTGTTAATTACATGTAGTATTAGAAATGTTTTATTTCCTCCATTAAATATTGTTTTTTGAAATCATTGAATAATTTTGATGAGCAGTATGCATTTTATATACAATTTTCTGTGTTTAATGACTTGCTTTAACATAAAAAGATGAAACACCTTGGAATTACCCAAAATCTAGTTTTTGCCATGTTAACACGTGGCCTTTCACCTAATTTTGGTGAAAAATTGTTGTTTTGTAGCATTTTTATTTTTTTTAATTAACCCTTTACCTCATGAGCATATTGTGAAAAATGGCCGTTTTCATTGAAAAGCCTCCTGTTTCAAACTGTTATGAAACTATGAAAAATTCTTCAATACTAACCAAACTTGGCACAAATGTTATCTGGACCATAGCCGCTGTAACAGCATGCTCAATCTTAAATTTCCTGTTACCATGGCAACGGGGGAACGTCTCAAAATTGCCAAAAATCACTATTTTGGATTGGTTTTTTTTCATCAAAACTGATTTCGAAGTGCTGCAACTTCTCAATGGATTGAGATAGAGTAAAAGGCTTTTCAGCGTTGGTTACACGTTACCTTACGATCGACCTGATGCCATTTTTAGCCTGTCACATATTCAAAATTTTCTTGGCGATGAGGGGGACTGGCAACCTCTTGATGTACCTTTTTGATGAGGGCGGCGCCGAAAAAGCGATCACTTTCTTAACAACATTTCTCACGTCTATATGAGGTAAAGGGTTAACGCAAGCTGTTAATTCTAAGTTGATACAAGCACCTAGTTAGCTGGGAAAAAACACTTCCCAACCAGAAAACAGCTCGACTATGTTAAGATTATATCTGTTACAATAATGAGACAGTTGCATAGAAATAATTAACATTTCCGTGTATAAGGGATCATTAAATTTATAGAAATACTTTTTTCAAATGAAACAGTTTTGAAAGCGGCTTTTCTTCATGTAGTAAAACTGTGTATATCACAGACAAGACGTCAAAAGACAAATTTGAAAAGCAGTCAACATATTCTAAGGGTGATTATTGTGTATTCGAGTTGACATACTGGAACCAGAGACGTAGAGATGTTATTCTATGTCTCTGGTGGAACCAACCCAATTTAAAAAGGTCAAATTGAAGGAACTAAAAACACCACAAACATGTACACACAACTAAACAATCTTCAAGGATCGAAAATATGACATCTTTGATTATATGTACGGGGCAACTTTATGTGGGCATCCCATGTAAGAGTTACTGATATATCCTCGCCTAGGCATTAATCTGAGGTATTCTAATTGGATATGCCATGAAAGTTGTATTGTGTTGGGATAGGATGTTTTCTTGTATGAAGTGGATAGGTCATGTACCAACAAAACAAGCTGCGTAACTCGTGATTTTTTCCCCTGAAAACAGCTTTCTTTGGAAAGTGTATTTTATTTCATTCGGACCACAGGCTTAATTTTTGAGGGTTTAGATCGATTATTATGATGATTATTGAGAAGATTATCAAAAAGCATGGACGCCTGAGGATCGAGTACTTTCTATTCTAATAGACTGAGGTGACCAGGTCATACCAACATAAAAAATGCGTAACTCATGACATTTTTCCCCTGGAAAGTGTATTTAGAATTATTGATTTTATCTTATTCGGGCAACAAGCATTTGTAGGGTTTAGATCTATTACTGAGAAGTTTTCCAACCCGTTTTGCTCATGTTAATTTGTATATCTGGCAAAGAAGGGAAGGGCTGACCTTGCTTCTAGCGCTAGGGTTCATTTTATACAAGAACGCAGGGGGTATGGCAGGTTTGGAGCTAATTTAAATGCTGACTGAAACCGCTTATATAAATGTGTAGCCTCCGAGACATCGTCATGGTGAAATTTATTTTCATACTTTTATGTTGGAGCAGTTCTATGTTTCTTGTTTGAATGTTGAATTAAGGAGTACAGCTTTCTAGTTAAATTAGTGCTGGGTTTGTAACTATTTTGGGCATCAATGTCACTTAGATTTAGGATGTCTTGCTAGGGAGCGTGGATGGTAACTTGTATTTTCCAGTACCATCCATGAACATGCTCAATCAAACCGAGTCTGCATCAAATTTAAATAATTTTGCCTTCTTGGGCTTTTTTAAGGATTCTGTATTTCTCTTTTTTCTTGATACTGGTTATAAGCCTCCTTAGCCATTTCCACACTACATGTAGATATTTCATGTCAAGAAACTTTTTACGATCAGAAGATGATCTTGAAGTGGAATTTTTAACCTTAAATTTAATTTTAAAAACCCGCTTTCTTTTTCTGATCAGTCTCTTGCCCAGGGAAAGTGATCAATAACTGAAGTTTGTTAATGGAATCCATCTTTCAGTAAGAGAGTTAATTGTCTGAGATTTTTTTCTTCATAACTCCTCAATATTAAGTGCAGAATATTTTCTATTTGTCTTCATAACGCAGGATCAAATGAAAACAAAATAATAAAATGGAGGTTATAATAAATAAATCGATACGATAAAGATTTGGAAGCTTGAAGTAAGCAGATTAATAATTCAATCCGGATGGGTAACCTTTTAGGAACTTCCGGGAAAATGGCCGCTATTTTATTTCTCGAAACTTGAAAATTGAAAGTTACTAATTTTTATTTTTATATCCACGTCATATAACGTAGAAGTGACTTCCTTTTTGGGGATTGAAAAGTAAATTTGAAAATGAATTTACAGATGCCTAGAAAACGATTAGCACGAATTCGTTGCCTTCAGGAATGTATTCGTTGCTTCAAAGAGGGCAAGAAACTTCCAGAGTGCGTGTGTTACGTACCATCTGAGGTCAAATATCAGTGTAATGCAACATGTTTTCTTCAAGTCTACAGTGAACCATCAATCAACAGTAAAAGGATAAGGGATCTGACTGGCAGTGCAGAGTCAACTTTGTCTGCAAGTGGTGAAGAAATGTGCAATGCTGGTGGAAAATGGTTAAAAGTTGTCAAGGTAAAAAAATATGATATGATTAAGTATTCAATGATTCACCAACAGAAAAAGTGATTTAAGGGTAATTACACATGTAAGTTGTAACTGTCATATGTTGTCATTTGGATTAAAACACCCATTTCTGTAACACATGGGACTGGGATATGTCAGATAATGAGATATTTTTTCTTGCATATTCTTCCTTATTCTATCATATTTTAATTCTTTACCTCAATAAAAGTGTTTCATCGTAAATTACTAATGAATGTTATTTCATCAGATCTACAACTATTTTCTTAAATAGTAATATAATAATGGTGAAATGACATCATCCTAAGCATGCAGTTTCATTCTAAAATAAGTTAAACTGATGTCATTTTAAAGCATTTCACTTATAAAATGTGCTAAAACGACACCACTCATATGACACCCACCGCCATGCCAGATGAAATTTCTGGAATGGGTAAAACTTACAGAAACACCAGTCTGGTATGCAAGAATATGTCATCCATAATAATAATATATTGCATGAATAACAAGATTAAAATCTTTTAAGACCTTTAAGCCAACAGCCTCCTTGTATCAAATTCACCATGGACTGTAACATACAGTCATTGCTTTTAATTTTTGATTTTGTGATAATTTTAGTTCAAGGGAAGCAGCAAAGAGGAAGAAATAGTGTTTGACACTGATGCCTGGATAATGTTGTTTAGCTGCAAGACACCAGCAGAGGACCTACTCAATCTTACTGAAGTGTCACTGAAGCCTCAGTCTTCAATAAGTAGCACAGTTGTTGTCAACAAGTAATTCATTCTTTTCTGAAATTATAAGATAAACTTAACCATCGTTTGCAGCAAATAAAAATATATTTCATTGATTTTCTTTAAAAGTTCACTGCCTGTGAAGGGCTGCCTTATATTGGGGGCATTTGGTCTTTATAGTGCTTTTAATACCAATGAATTGATTTTACCACAGTCTCTTTTGATTCATAAGGAAATCTACATCTAAAATATATTACATGCATTAACATATCTTCCTCAACTTAAATACTATACTGAGAACAGTGCCTAATAATCTAAGAATTATAAAATATATCCCTTTAGGAAAGATATTTGTCTTGACAAGTTGAAGTTGATAGTAATGAAATATTTATTTCAGATGGTCAGATGCTGTGGTTCATCATTTTTCTTTAGATTTGCGTAAGAAGAGTGTAAATGTGATATTACCTGATGTAGAGGCAGTTGCTAGGTTACAAAATTTGCCACAAAATTGGACAATAGAACATGATGAGGCTCTAGTTCGCCTAATGTCAAAATATTTATCACCCGAGAATGAACAATTAGGAAGTATTAAAAATTATGTGGATTCTATAGATGTATCATCATTCACAGTAAGTTTTAAGTTTTTTGGTATTGACTAGCATTAGGGCTGTCATTGATGGAAAATTTTGTATTGAGTTATCGAGAGACAAATATCGACGGTACATCGATATATATCGATTTTGACAGTAGATACGATGAAAAACATTTATGTGTTATAAATTGGGATCAAAATGTTATGCAGCTTGTAGGACACATTACAAATACTACAAACTAACAGAATGTTTAGTTATTATTGAAGTTTAAGTTAGCCAAGAAAACTAGAAAAAGAGAATTCTCTTATAAGCCAAAATAGAGAGGTATATTAACTAAAAGAAATATTTTTTTTTTACCTTGTATCGATATGTGAAGTGTGTATCATTATTGTATCGGATGATGAATATCGATGATATATCAATATCGCGATATTCAATGACAGCCCTAACTTGCATACATTTAAAGTCACAGCTATTATCATAAATCTTAATTTTGATGTATTTTCAAGATATTGTGCAGAGGGGAGTAAGCTGTTCAATAACATTCAAGGGAAAATTATTTTTGTTATGCAGTTTTTTTGCTAGTATTATTGTTCATTATAATTTTCAGGGGCATACATGTACATTGGCTTATTTTGAATGTATGCCGAGTGCAGGTCTTTGGCCATAGGGTCGCCAGAGACTTATATATCAAATATAGCTCTTTGCTATAACTAGGGCTTTAAGGGATTTCTCAGCTAATTGTACTACTATTGTCTTTATCTGTAGTTATGAAAATAACATCAAGTACGTATATCAGGGCTCTCGATTGACACGGGGATCCGGGTTTTGACTCGTGAAAATCGGGAAATGCACATATTTGACACGTGATAAAATCTGCTCAAGAGTCAATTTTCCACATGGGATTTTCAGCTATGCAATAATAATTACCTTAAATTCACCCCTAATTATCTATCAAATCCTACATGTGTTCAAATCACACTCATAGAAAATGTCAACAGGCAGTATAAGATGTGTATAAAATGCTTTACACACGGCAATTGTTTATACCCTGTGCACTGAAGCGTGACAATTTAGTGGCTGCAATTTGACAATGCTAAAAATAGCTCTACACAACTGATAAGAATTACATACTTGAGGTGTCAATTATTGATTGCTTCTGAAGGTTTATAATGTATACGTCTTTCATTTACTTGGAGTACCTGTGCATTTCTTATAAATATTCCTGGTACATTTTGGTATTTAAAATTAATATGATATAGCATACCAGTAAAGATATTTTTTTATATTTTATACATTTAATCAGAAAAGCTGCTGCTTATTTTATTCTTTCACAGCAATTCATGTTTTTGTTTTATTTGTTTTGTTTTTTAGGTGGTGGGGGTATAGACATTTATAATTAGGCATTTTTTTCTGTCAATTTAGACTTTGGAATCTCCAAAAATGACCTCCAATACAGTTATTTTTGTAACATAAAAATGATACATGTAGTCAAATGACACTAGAAAAAAATTATTTGACTCATGAAATTTTAGCCAAAGAGTCTTTGACTCGTGAAATTCTGACCCTACTGAGAGCCCTGTATATTGAATGTGAGAGACTATTAGTTATGAAAATAACATCAAGTACATATATTGAATGTGAGAGACTAATGTGTACAATGTTTTAAATAGTTCAAAAGTTATTTAGTACTAGAAAAACAAAACATAGCAAGGTGTCTCTATTGTAATAAAGATGGGTTTGATTTCCTTTTGTTACAAGTGTTCTCTTTGTTATTTTTCTTTAGTTTCACCATAACTTAACATGAGATATATCATATAATTATCATATAATCAAGGAAAATATCCTTTAAAATGATCTGTATGACTTCAATACAAACACAAAAGCTTAAGTGTTTAAGTGTAATGAAAAGTTATTGTATTTACAACCAAAAAGTAGTATAGCACGGTCATTTAGCTTCCTTAAAATATTTTTTAATGCGTATTCATTCGAGAATGACACAAAAATAGAATAATTCTCTCTAAAATGGCTTCCCGTTGATATACACAAGCAATATATTTTAATTTTAATTTGCTCATAATGTGCTTACTCCATTTTCTTATTATTGAATTTTTGATTTTGACATGTAAATAGGTCACACATATTCAAATTAGGTAACATCCTAAGCATAACTATAGAATCAATTAGCAACTACAATATGTTGATCGATATACACCCAAATTATTGATTTCATTTTTGAAATTTTATTTTTTTTCGAAACTCTTTTCTTTATAAATTATATAACCACGTGCGTATTGGCAGGAAGCCACTCAGTTTTCTGCTTAATCTCATGATATTAAATGTTTTATTTAGGATGAAAACGGTCCAGGATGTTTAACAGATGGGGACCCTGATACATGGTGGGAGAGTGATGGAAGTCAGGGACAACATTGGATACGTCTCAAAATGAAAAAGGGCACAATTATAAAGTAAATGATACTATTACTCAAAATATACCATTCTTCTTATTTTGGAAGTATCATGTACCATGTGTAGGATTTGGAATAATTTCATTGTTAGATGTCCAAGTTGGATATTAGAGGCTTGGTTTTGCCAACTGGCTGTTTAAAGTTTTTGGGTTGCAAATGTAAAGGTCTTATCATCATTTAACCTTAGTGCAATAACTGGTTAACCCCTATTCAATTTATAAGGACTTAACCCATTACTGCACTAAGATGACACTATATAGTGACTTATCGTCTTAAGTTGTGGAAGAAGACTTGTATAATTTCAGGTATGAACTTGCAACTTGGTTCATAACCTAGCAAGATCAATTCCTCACATGTAAGAAACCAAAATCTTGATCCCAGCATAAAAACAAGGTTGATAAAACTTGGTATGTGCATGGGTGGAGATTGTGCATATTATTATCATACATTTCAAGTGGTCAAAATTCTGAATTAGTAATAGAAATGGTCAAACTATGATCTTGAATTGTAGATCCTGAAATAGCTCAGAAATACAAATGTTTTGTATTGTAAATGCGTATTGTAAATGCGATGAATTCATGAAACTTGGAATGTGAGTGCCTTTTTCTCTGGTGGCTATATTCAAAGAAATGATGAATCTAAAGGCCTTAAAGTTAGTAATGCATGCATGCACATTTTGTCATTTCAATTACAGATAGGATAATTATAAAATGATTTCATGTTTCAGAAAGTTACAGATAGGTCTAGATAGTTCAGACGACAATTACCTCCCTTCAAAGATATCCGTACAAGGCGGTGATGCAGATAGTCAGAAAACTCTCAACTCTATGACCATTGACTGGTAATGTTTTTTTTGATTTTTGAAAAACTGGCTTTACATACATAGTTCAATTTCTTATAATCGTCCGTTGCCTGCAAGTGTTTCTATCAATTTCTTATAATCGTCCGTTGCCTGCAAGTGTTTCTAATATTTTGTTTCTTGCAAAGAAAATATATTTTTGACTAGAGCTGTCATTGATTCTGCACAACGCAAATCAAAGATAATATATATTGATATCAGACCACAAATATCGATTGATGCACCAATTATCAATAATAACTTACTTTAAGTTTTAATTACTTGTCTGTAATTCTTTTTCATACCTGTTTAAATGCTTTCAGCAAAAAAACACTTCCTTTTCATACATATGTCTTGTTATGCCCAGAGCATAATTTTTGCTGACCTTTTTTTGTCATCTCTGCTATGAAATATGTTTCTGCATATGTTTCGGGTGAATTTTCATAATTTCTTGACATTCATTTATCAAGTCAAAATTACCGATTTTATAAAATGTGAATCAATTATTGATTGGCAGAAAAATATAAAAAAGTTCGATATCTTTTTTATCGATGTCAGCTATATTTTTTATGCCCCCACAATGTGGGAGCATATAGCGTTGCACTTGTCCGTCCGTCAGTCCGTCCGTCCGTACGTCCCGAAATCTTGTGAACGCAACTCCTCTTAAACCGGATGTCAGATTTTGCTTAAACTTACAGGGATGAACAACCTTAATGTGTAGATGGTAGTAAAGGAAGGAATTTTTGCTGCGACCAAATTTAACAGAATTATGGCCCTTTGTTGATTTTTTCACTAGCTACTATGTAGAAATTTTGTGAACGCAACTCCTCTTAAACCGGATGGCAGATTTTGCTTAAACTTACAGGGATGAACAACCTTAATGTGTAGATGGTAGTAAAGGAAGGAATTTTTGCTGCGACCAAATTTAACAGAATTTTGGCCCTTTGTTGATTTTTTCACTATATACTATGTAGAAATTTTGTGAACGCAACTCCTCTTAAACCGGATGGCAGATTTTGCTTAAACTTACAGGGATGAACAACCTTAATGTGTAGATGGTAGTAAAGGAAGGAATTTTTGCTGCAACCAAATTTAAAAGAATTATGGCCCTTTATTGATTTTTTCACTATATACTATGTAGAAATTTTGTGAATGCAACTCCTCTTAAACCGGATGGCAGATTTTGCTTAAACTTTAAGGTATGAACAACCTTAATGTGTAGATGGTAGTAAAGGAAGGAATTTTTGCTGCAACCAAATTTAACAGAATTATGGCCCTTTGTTGATTTTTTCATTAATTACTATGTAGAAATTTTGTGAACGCAACTCCTCTTAAACTGGATGGCAGATTTTGCTTAAACTTCCAGAGATTAACAACCTTAATGTGTAGATGGTAGTTAAGGAAGGAATTTTTGCTGCGAACAAATTTAACAGAATTATGGCTCTTTGTTGATTTTTAGTTTCAACTTTTGGCACATGTAGTCCAAAAAGTATTTGACCTAGTCATAAGATTGACAGAACAGTGGCGTGTGGGGGCATCAGTGTCCTATGGACACATTTCTAGTTTTACCCTTAAGGTACCGTGCTTTATATTTTAAATGGACTGGTTAATATTTCAATATGAATAATATGACTTTGAGCTTTCATTATCAACATGACAGGAGAATACCTGGAACTATTGAAACTGTGTTTGCTATTATTTCAGGGATTCCAAAGATGTTGGTCCTCTTGTTAGTCCCCTACCGGTTTACCGGAGGGGACTTTAGGTTTACCCTCCGTCCGTCTGTCCGTCTGTCTGTCAGTCCGTCTGTCCGTCCGTCAGTCCACAAAACTGGATCCCGCGATAACGCAAAAAGTATTGAAAATATTTTAATGAAACTTGATATATGGATAGATGGCAGTATGGAGATTATGCACGTCTTTTTCTTTTCTTCCTATGTTGAAAATTCTGGTTGCTATGGCAACAAATAGACTGAAAATATGGCAAATTTTACACATAACCTGGATCCCGCGATAACGCAAAAAGTACTGAAAATATTTTTATGAAACTTGATATATGGATAGATGGCAGTATGGAGATTATGCACGTCTTTTTCTTTTCTTCCTATGTTGAAAATTCTGGTTGCTATGGCAACAAATAGACTGAAAATATGGCAAATTTTACACATAACCTGGATCCAGTGATAACACATAAAGTACTGAAAATATGTTTATGAAACTTGACATATGGGTAGATGGCAGTATGGAGATTATGCACGTCTTTTTCTTTTCTTCCTATGTTGAAAATTCTGGTTGCTATGGCAACAAATAGACTGAATTTCAAGATTTCTGATTCTAGTTTTTAAGTTTTTTCACTATAAGTTCTTTATTTCTTAAGGTATTTTCTTCAAACTTTAAATATAAGTTGCTTGTCATCAACCACATCATATGTGACAAGGTTTACAACTCTAGCACAAAATTTATCAGAATTACCTCCCTTGAACTTAAAATTTTCATGAAAAAAACATTGTTTTTTTAATAACTTCTTTTTCTGAATGTATCTATACTTTAAACTTCATATAAATGTTTCTTATTGTCACTCAACATTTGTGAGTGTTCAATACTCTAGCAAGACTATTTCCAGAATTATGCCCCTTTTGAACTTAGACTTTTTTTTAGAAATTGGTAATTTTTACTCCAACTTCTTCAATCATGATAGGATTTTAAAAATGTTATATTTTGATAACAGGGATGTTTAAAAAATAACTTTAGAGTGTCCTTCAGTCTGTCTGTCTGTACATAAAAACTATTTCCTGTGATCACTTTTAAAGAACTTTTTGAACAAATTTACTTAAAATAGGAACCTAAGTGAATGGCCAATGGCCCTTCAGAATGTTGCTTGGGCTCTTACCGGTAGGGGACTTATGGATTGCTTGCAATACTATGATAATTGCTTGTTTAAATTGTTTTTGCTATTATTTCAGGGATTCCCAAGATGTTGGTCCTGTGTTTTAAACTGTGTTTACTATTATTTCAGGGATTCCCAAGATGTTGGTCCTCTTGTTTAAACTGTGTTTGCTATTAGTTCAGGGATTCCCAAGATGTTGGTCCTCTTGTTTAAACTGTGTTTGCTATTATTTCCTGGAATCCCAAGATGTTGGTCCTGTTGTTTAAACTGTGTTTGCTATTAGTTCAGGGATTCCCAAGATGTTGGTCCTGTTGTTTAAACTGTGTTTGCTATTATTTCAGGGATTCCCAAGATGTTGGTCCTCTTGTTGAAACTGTGTTTGCTATTATTTCAGGGATTCCCAAGATGTTGGTCCTCTTGTATAAATTGTGTTTGCTATTATTTCAAGGATTCCCAAGATGTTTGTCCTCTTGTTTAAATTGTTTTTGCTATTATTTCAGGGATTCCCAAGATGTTTGTCCTCTTGTTTAAATTGTTTTTGCTATTATTTCAGGGATTCCCAAGATGTTTGTCCTCTTGTTTAAATTGTGTTTGCTATTATTTCAGGGATTCCCAAGATGTTGGTCCTCTTACTGTATTGGAGAACATGACAGAACACTATGCTATTATCATCATAAAAATCAAGGATTGTAAGTGTAAGTAGAGGATTATCTGATAATGGAGGAATCTTTTACATTAGAAACATATCCGGCTAGCTTATAGCCCAGGGTTCTAATTTTGTGTCCCAATTATGCCAGAAATAATGCTTAGTGCCACTAAGTTAGTGGGGCACAAATGGTTTCTCTTCTTGATGAAATCTGAAAATTCGCTGTAAGCTGGTGTGAATTGTGGTTAAATATTGGCTAATTTTTTAAAATTCATCAATTGATTTCAGATAGACCTATGAAATACTGTATATCAGTTGTTTTATTTTGCGAGTATCTAAGTTTGCTTACAATGTATGACTGAATATAACGGGGAAAAAAATTAGCTAAATTTGACTTTAATACAAGGATATCACAAGTCTTTGTAACTTGATGTCTGTCTTTAGATTTGCTACCAAGTTAAGTCATGATAATTACATGTTTTTATGCCTAGAAACCAATGTATAAAAACAAACATTTGATACCCTGTAGTATTTTAAACTGCTTTGTACAATCTTTGTTTATAATCCAGGAAGATTTACTGGTATTTATGAAATTGTTTACATTCATTTTATATATAGCTATATTGATAATGATCTTTATTATTTTTATTGGGCATAAAGAACATTTTCAATATTGACAATGTTTGTTATACAACTTTTACATGAACTATGCATGTTTTTGTATAAATTCATAAAGAATGTAACACTCGATTACTCATGCTTTCACATCCTTGTAAGACTTTTGAAGCTTCAATTTTGCACTAGATTGATGATATATACATTGTTCAATGATTTTATATAGAAAATGATAATGTTCACTTAGCAGTTTTGGTAAAAAACCCAGCTCTCAAAATTACTGAAAATGAAAAAATATAAAGATAAAAAAAAATCTGCACATAAATGACATTTTTCAGCCGGAGGTATAGACACAAGAATCAGAGATCTAAAAATAGTATCAACAGAGGAGAGAACTTCAGGTTTTGATAGAGATTTCTTCAAGGGAGAAAACTTGTGTAGATATCCTATCCTAGAAACGTACAAAGCTGAAGAATTATACTACAGATCACAGATGTTACAAAGGTAATTTCTTGTAATGAACCAAAAGGTTTTTCCATGGAAGCAGGATTTATTAATGTGAAGAAGATATCTAGCCGGTTTACTTTTGGTTGATTGTTTCATGTGTGTCCACTCATGCTTTAAATAGTGCCGAGTGCCATTTATCATACACTGAAGGTGGTCTTTGAAGATGCCAGGCTAAACTGTGGTTAAGAAAGTATTTTTCTTCAATAAAATGATTTAAATTAAATATTAGATGCAAAGCATCTGTCAGTGTTAATTTACAGATTTTCATGCGATAATTTTGAGGATTTCAAAACGACTATTGTTAAAAGTTAAGATAAATTTTCGAATATGTATTTCAGGTTCTTAGAGATTGTAGATAGTGTTTTACAGTACTTAGTCCCTGCTTGGGAATATTCTATAGGATCTTACAGCTCTTTAGAAGTAAGTTTCTTTATGGTTTTATGATACTGCATGTTTGTAACGTCGCTTTTCATTGGATATAACCGTGACAGTTAAATAGTAAAGTTTTATATGCACGCCTGCTGTCACTTTATGAAGAAATCTCACTTTTTATTCTCTAAAAAATTATGCTTGCTGTATTATAAATTCGTTATAAATATTTCTGGCTGGTTAAATGGCCATAAATTAAAGCAGCATGCCTTCAGATTCATGCTATTTTCATGAACATTTTGAAAATGTTTTTATAAGTAAAATATTGTGAAGTAACCAATAAGAAGCAATGTATTCATTTCAAACAGCACTCACAACCCATGTAAATTATCAAAATGGGGTCAAAATATTCAGAAATAGCCTTTACTGCATTAGTAACACAGAAGAAATATGCTAAAAAATCACATGGCATTTAATGGCATAAAACATGTAAATTATTACTAAAATCTTGAATTTTTTTACTTTTCCTGAAGTCTTTGTACATTTTTCAGGTTTGATTTTATTGAAATATTTTTGCTCATCTGAAGGCATGCAGCAGTAACGGTTGTTTGCAATACAAATGCCTCTGCTTCTATTACATTTACATGTTTGTTGTATTTATTTCAGTTTGTTAGACAATTATTACCATTATCTAAAAAGAGATTATGCCTCATAGACACATTTCTATTGTATTTATTTCAGTTTGTTAGACAATTATTACCATTATCTAAAAAGAGATTATGCCTCATAGACACATTTCTATTGTATTTATTTCAGTTTGTTAGACAATTATTACCATTATCTAAAAAGAGATTATGCCTCATAGACACATTTCTATTGTATTTATTTCAGTTTGTTAGACAATTATTACCATTATCTAAAAAGAGATTATGCCTCATAGACACATTTCTATTGTATTTATTTCAGTTTGTTAGACAATTATTACCATTATCTAAAAAGAGATTATGCCACATAGACACATTTCTATTGTATTTATTTCAGTTTGTTAGACAATTATTACCATTATCTAAAAAGAGATTATGCCTCATAGACACATTTCTTAAAGAATCTTCTTCCGAGTAAGTATATGACGTTTTTATTTATTATCCATAAATATTATTGACATATTATATTATTTCTGAGGACCCTCTTAGAAGAACAGGAAACTGAATGTGCTAGCCTCATTCAGTCAATGAAGTTAAGATTTTACACTGGCCTGAACTAATTTACACTGGCCATGGGCTACCGTTCTAGTGCTAAATTTGATGACTGCCTCATTAAATAAAATAGTTACCTACTTACTAATATTAAAGGAACATGATATCATTTTGCCAAGCCATCTTTTGTGAGCTAGACATTGTTCGCACTGTTGCATTTTAAATAGTGAGTTTGTGAGAGTATGTATAGCTGCCTAGTTTGGTCATAGGTAGAGGGGTTCCTTGTTAAGACAGTATGTTACATAAGATGATCAAAAGCAATTTACAAATGGTGTAAGTAAATACTATGCTTGTAGAGAAAAAAAATCTTTACTTTGTTATGAATTAATTGGGAATGAATTTAATGTAGTTGAAAAATGATTGTTGGTTTGTAGGCTTCTTTCCAATGTATAATGTAATATCTGTACATCAAACTGGCAAACTCTTGCCTGATTCATGTCTGGCTGGAAATGATGATACAGTACAACCTCTGTAAAGTATGACCCTTTTTGCTGAGAGGTAATCTATACAGAGGTTGATTTTAATGTGAAGTCTTACTTAGATAAGTAGTGAAACTGTTGTTGTAAGGAGAGTTTGCTCTACAGAAGGTTACAGGTAAAATGTTTGAACCTTGCCATGAACATGTTCCAATAGGACATAGAATTGGTTGAAATGTAACAAAACCAAGTATTAAAACTGCGTGCCTCTAGATAGCCAAAATATTGCAAGAAAATCAAACTTGAGAAAAAAGTACGTAGATTTTAAGAAAAGTAAAAAGATTCAAGATAAAAGCAATATTTTCCATGTTATGATAGATTTTGCAGTATTTTTCACAATATTTCTATTGAGTTACTTATGCAGTAAGAGCTATTTTTGCATATTTTGACTCTCTTTTGGTAATTTACATGAGTTGTTAGTGCTGTTTTGCAATGTGGAAATTATTTTCTTTGTTTGCTTCACAATATTTTACTTTTAGTTCATTTTCAAATGTAATTCTATATGATTTGATTTGTTGATATTTTCAGTAGACCAAGTGATATGCCTAAATTGTATATAAATCGCCGTGCTGCTATGGAACATAAATGTGATCCTACCTCTGACCCTGAATACAAGAACTCTATTTTTACGCAAATTTATGATGGACTCAAGCCTAAAGACAGAACATCAGTCCCTCTTAATTACAGGTAATATCTTTTTGTATTCATTTGCATTATTTATAAGTTTGACTGTTTGAATGTGGTTTTGATCCCTGGTGTTCCAAGGTTAGCCAAAATCATCTTTCCTCTTTCCTATATTGGCCCCATAGGACCTTATTTGTGTAGGTGCGCCGCAAAACCAAACAACCAAACTGAGAT